GAGCAAACTCAGGGAGGCAGTGAAGGACAGGAAGGCCTGGTGTGATATGGTTCATGGGGTCACGAAGAATCAGACACGACTTAATGACTGAACAACAACAACAACAATGCATTTTCTCAAAAGTTCTGATCAAAGCTATCTTAACAATATATTGTTGCACCTGAACAAGCAAACAATATTGATGCTCTTCTAAGAGATTAACTAAGGCTGCTTGACAAGACTGATTTAAAGAAACCAGTATGCTGCCCGTATACATATGTACTAGGGAAACCTAAGACAGCACACAGGTCTAAGTAGACAATGCTTCCTAATAACTCTCTTAGCTACTTCTCATAGCTATTGGAGTGAAATATTGTAGTTCTGGCAAACTGATATCCATTGATTTTAGTTGAGTTGTCTCCAAGCAGAGCAAGAGAGCAATGTCAATGACTCATTCTGCTAGCATCCCCAGTGCTGCAACAATTATTTTTCTGAGTAGCTTGCCTTTAAACATAACTTCAGTAGGCATAAGGCAAGCAGTATGCCTTTACTCTTTCAAGGCTTACCTTCACAAGTCACTAACATCACATACTGTATGTTAACTGAGTGCACTAAGCTGAAGCTATTAGACTGCAAAATTTTGGACAACCGCTAGATGGAAGTAAAGAGATACAGAGCTGGTGGCCACCCATCTTATTATTATTAATGGTAATTTATTACATTTATATGCCACTGACTCCCAGAGATTCTTGGTGATTTACAATTGTTAAAAACATTTGAGAGTTAAAAAAAACATACAAAAAACACAAAAACAGCACAAGACAAAAGAACAATGATGGAAAGAAAGCAAACCCAGAAGGAAACAAGAAGGAAGAAAGAGCCAGGTCTTTAGGGTTCTTTTAGGGTGGGAGCTGTTCAAATTTCAGAGGGAACCTCATTCTAGAGTTATTAATCAAATAACTCTGAGCCCAGGGTGAAGCTCAGATATGTAGGTGTAGGTTTCATTATGAATGAAAGGGCTAAAATGTACGTCAGAAAGTATGAATTGGTGGGATCTAGGTTATTATGGATACATAAGAAAATAGGAATCTATAGGTTGGTGATAGCTGCATATCCATTCTAATGAATAGTGGAAGATACAAGGTTGAGTTTTAGGGGGAAAAAACTGTGCAACATTCTAAATAAATATGATCCAGGGCAAAAAATAATTCTGTCATGAATGGATAGAAGAGAACATGATGAGAATATGTAGAAAAAATGGGCTATTCGGAGACCCAAGAATAAATGACAGTAGTGTCTGATCAGCAACTGTTTAGAATTAGGCCTGTTTGTTTGAAATACGTAGTATGATAATTCAGTTGTTTAAGCTGAAAGATTCTGAGAATTAATGAAGAGTGATGAAAGGTTCTGAATGTGGGACAAACCACCTATAAGGACATATATGTATGTAAGTATGTATATAAAATAGCTCCTTTCTAAATACAAATCCTTCTAAAGAAGTTTACAAGCTATATAAAAAGCATTAACATAAATTACTGTGTGTTAAGACTGAGATCACAAACTTTACTAGAGAATTGGTGGTACTGGCCATACTGAAAGACAACAGTCCAGCAGGAGCTGGCCATCTACCCACTACTCTCTTCCTTATAAGAGAGCTTGCACATAATAAATCAGCTTTTCTACAACTTCACAGGAAAAGTCACTCCTTAACTGCCCATTAGCAAAAGACACTGGAAAGCATCTCCAGCATGAGGAATTTGTAGGATTATTTGAAAGTCAGTAAGCAGCAGCATCCCCCTAACAGCTGCTCAGTATCAGCTGCAAAGGACTAGATGAGCTAATGATGCTTAGTGATTCATTAAGTCAACATTACTTGCCTGCTGAATTACTCACTCTGCTAGTAACATATGAGACCATTTAGCCATTCACCTAATCATATAACATATTCTAGTTAATATTCTACCTTCACATATTAAACAGTAAGGTCTATTTAATTTTATTAAATAGCTTCAGGGAAAGAGAATGATACCTAGAACCAAAGGAAAAATAAGTAAATGTTTATTAGGGAATGTATATATTAGCCTTACAAAAATGATTTCAAAGCAGTATAAAAATAAGATTTATTAATTAATCAGGGAAAATCTGATGAGTTTTAAACTAAAGTATGAGAAAAGAGAAAACGTGAATGAAAGCTTTTATCAAGAGCATGGCTCTGTCAAAAAAATCCAAAAACCCTGCTCTGGTTTTAAATCGGTAACTGCTAGTTATCTGCATCTTACAATACAGAAAAATCATACCAGTAACTCAGATTTACACCCCAGACCAACTACCGCCCCCCAAAAAATCAAACTGAAGCAGATTTTCCTCTTCCTTCTAACCATAATAGCACACATCTTGAGAATGTGAAGGAGTCTGACATTGCTTTTTCCAGATCAACAAATTTATTAAAAGGCATAAACTTTCATGAACTTAAGCTCACT